ATAAACAACTAATTTCATACAGTGAAGTTGGGAGAGCGTCATATGGACCTCATTCTGTTGTCTCCAAACACTTTATCAGAGGGGGAAAGGGAGCTGAATAAACTTTAAACTCTCATGTAGGGATGTATTGCTTGTGTGTCCCTGGCAGATGTGGAAAGGAGATGAAATGGGCAAGGGAGAATCAAATATCCCTTCGCTGCAGGTTTGCTGAGGGAAAAAGCACTGCAAAGATCTCACATCTGGCAATCATTTGTCAATAGCTGGAAAGAGAACGGCAGGAAACTTTCTGGCTCTTGGAGAAGATGAAAAGACAAAAACCATGTGTCACACACACATGCATGCACACACACACACATACACACTCTCACTCTGCAATGGTACAATGACTACTACACTTATTCTCCAACCCTCCTTTACCTCCCACCCCCCACCACCACCCAAATTTAATGATCTTCAGATATAGTCTACTCCATGGTCAAAAACATGCAGTCACTTGACTTGTTAAAGCTGCAGTGTATGTACATTTTTTTCAAATAAACCCCAGGGCTGATGTTAGAAAATCAAAATCAGTCAAGCATAGACCGCCTGGTACTTTGGGCAGGAATCCTTGTGGTTTAGTCAATAAACAGAATCTGAATGAAAGACACCACAGTAACTAGACAGTAACGTTTTGAACAGTTCTTAACCTGAAAGAGGGGGTTGGGGGCTGGTGCACTATTGACCAAGGACGTAAGGCTACCAGTCCACTTAAATCACTCTACCTCTACCTACCTACAACATGGCTGCTTGGCACAAAGTGAGCTGAGGGAAAAAGGTCATCTACTGTTTATTTATTGATTAATTACTTACTATGATTCATTAATAATTGCACAAATTAATGTGCTTTACTGTGACATTTACATATATGCATTTCTTGCATCTTGATCATGAACCCCTTTATTCTGCCTACTTTTGCATTCCCTTCTCCCCACACCAGGCTCCCCACCCCCAGCAACTATTATTTCTAACAGGGAAAAAAAAGAGAAAATGAATTTATATTTGGGAAAATATTGCAGATATATTGGGGAGGGAATATAAGTAAATAATCATACCTATTTAATAAGATGGTAAGGGAAACTTCAGACTGTTTAGTCCAGTGGTGTGAACAATATAGAGAATTTGCTGGCTCATCATGAGTTCATAAAAATAATTGACTTTGCCCCTGTAGGTTTGTCATGTAATAAGAAGTGTTCAAGACACCCCATACAAAATGAATTAAGTTCTCCAAAATCAAGGAATTTAAATCTGCTGTGGTGATCGATAGACTTCAAGGGGTAGCTTCTGGTTCACCCTTATGCTGCATTTGACAGAGCAGTAGCTGCGGAGCTCATCCCTGTGATTCCATAAGTGAATGCTGCAGGTTGTTTAATAACCTGGCAAATTCACAGTAGCTTGTCAAATTATTACAGGAACAGTGTCATCACTAAACAAGCCTGATCACGGTTAATTACAATGCAGACCAGAGAGCAGCCACAATTGTTCATTAATTACAGGAAGCACCTCATTTAAATTTTATGGAAATTTACACTTGCACCCCGGTATGTCTGGAAGAAAAAAAGTGATCCTTCACGCATTCACAGAAGAAAGAAGTCTGTGGTTTATGAAACATCACAGTAAATTGTGTCTAATCTGGTACTGAAATATTGGTTCATTATTTACTCTAATTTTCTAAGCACTTCAGTGGTGAAAATTACCAAGTCAAACCTCACATCTTGAATTCTCAACCAAGTAAAGAACTGTGCTAAGATAACTGTAAGAACTTAATACATGATGAGACACACCTACACTAAGAAAGTCAACTTAATTAATAATGAAACAACAGCAATTAAGAGAGGTCTAAACTAGAATAATTTCCTAGAAGATAACTATGAGAGCACAATTCTTTGTTACTATACACCAGTTAACCTCCCATATTAAACAGTACTCAGTTTATACCTACTTCAAGACACTGAGGAAAACAAATTTAGACAGTGAAATGAAGTCTCAATTTCCAAGAATCTTTCTAAACCAAACATATTAACACAAAAACAGCAGACTCCCTGCCAGGCACACACTTGAAGGATGACAGTCATTCAAAACCAAAGATATATATATATGGAAGAGTTATATATTAGGGGTCTTAGGATTATTAAATTACAAAGCTTCTAAAAATTCTGAAATTTTAGGGGAAAATTGCCAAGGCTTAAAAGGAAGAAGAACAGAAAGAACCAGTCATGAGAACTTACATCACCTAAAACAGAAAACTAACCCAGATATGAGAATGTGTGTCTAAATGAAAATTATTTTTAAGAAAGGATATACCCACACCATTGCTCCTAAATTGAGGTGTACAGAGGTTACTCTCAGAATCAAGAGGCCAAACAGCAAACCCACTTGTGGTTACAATGCCTGGCCCTGGAGGAAAGCCTGAGAGCCATGCAAAAATGGTGAACAACTTGGCAAGTTCTACATTGAGTTCCCCGGAGGATAGAGCTGAACTGAAAAATAAGAAATGGTTCATTCCCTAGTATGCAAAAAAAGGGGAGGATATATGCCATGGCAAGAATGCAATCAGATGCAGCTAGAAAACACTCCTGGAATTGTTATCTGATGAAGAATATATTGACAAGTTTATTATGACTGACATAATATGGATATACTAGGTATTTCTAAAATATATGGAAACCATATTCAGGAGAGAAAAGGAAAAAGGGGGGAAGAAGAGGAAATGGTTGTAGTTGGTTCCAGTTAATTCAACAATTCATGGGGCTGGGGTTGTGGCTCAGCAGTAGAATGCTCACCTAGCACATGTGGGGCCGTGGGTTCAATCCTCAGCACCACATAAAAATAAATAAGTAAAATAAAGGTATTGTGTCCAACTACAACTAAAAAAATAAATATTAAAAAAAATCACTATAGTTGACAATCTTATAACAGATCTAACATTTTCAATCTACCAGAAAGGTATTGCAAAATAATAAATTCAATAATATGATACATTTCATCATTTTGTCCAGAAACTTTGTCTTCTTTGCAAGGTCCATGCTGAACTGTCAATCATACAATCTATTTACCAACAACCACAGTTTCATTTCAACTTGTAAGTGTACTTTTCTTTCTCTTGTTATGTCAAACTAATGTGCTCCATAGGTCTTTTTCAGCTTTATTTCACACACTCACATATGTTAAACCCGTTCTCTTTGAACCATAACTCAAGGTTCAAAAACAGATGATCCAACAATCACCCATAACAGACTCTTCCAGGTGATGAACATCCCTTGTCCTACCCAAAGAGTTCAAGGATCGCACAGTGTCTTCCATCACTCTGCATTTATATGTCATACACAAGCTGTTAGTTCTCTAGAACGAAGAAGCACAAGATCAAGTATCATATGTGTCACACCTGCTTTCCTAGTGTCCCACAGCTATACACCACCCAGACGGTACCAGCTTAGGGCACAGCAATGCTCAGGTGGTCTTCCCTAGGCCAAGAGCAGGTGTGCAAGAGACGGTGTACCTTCAGTACCATAAACACTGAAACCTCCCCCTACCTCTACTCCTATCCTCACTCCCACTGTGAAGATGTCAATTTTTAAAGCCATTCTCTCTTTTCTCAAGTGGGGTATCTAAATCAGTAAAAATGTTTTAAAACGAAGCTCACTATGCTAACCCATAAGCCTGGAAATTTAGAAAACAATGCCAAATGGAGTCCCTGGAAAAAAAAATATAACCTGGGTTTGCTCATGCTAGGGAATATCATCCATATTGAAACCTCAACCTATATCTTTGCAATGGTACATACAATCCTTAAAATTAAAAGTTACAGAGAAGTAGAGACATACCTCTAGCCAAAATGTCATATTTACATTTCAATCTGCAGCATTCTAAATGACTTCTAATGCTTTAAGGCCACATGAAAATTCAAGCCAACATTTTCAGGGAAAATTTATCCTGCATGTATCTTTCCAATCCATGAAAACAGAAAATATTTATCTCTAAGTCTTTTTTTTTTTTTTTTTTTTTTTTTTTTAGCTACCTGGGATTGAACCCAGGAGTGATTAACCACTGAGCACTGAGCCAATCACCATCCCATTTTACTTTTTATTTTGAGACAGGGTCTTGCTAAGTTGCTTAGGGCCTCACTAAGTTGCTGATGCTGGCTTTGAATTTGATAATCCTTTTGCCTCAGCTTTCTGAGCCACTGCTACTGCACTCAGCCATATTTCTCTTCTAAAGTACCTAGTTGAATGGTTACTGTTCTAAGATGAGAGACCATAATGCAGAAGGATGACTTATTACATGTTCCTGTGCCCCACAGAGTACTTATATATGACAATGATGTTTTAAAAGATGAGAAATAATTAATATTAACAGTGGCTCTTGGTGCCAGACCCTGTGTTAACTCAGGTAATTTAAGCCTCATAATCATCTTTTCTAGTAAATCTCCATTTTACAGATGAGAAAACTAAGGCTAACTTAGGTTGAATTACTTGCCAAAAGACTCACAGCAACTGTGTCAAACTAGACAGTCAACCTTCAGAGACCATGTTCATTTCTACTCCAGGATATGTATCTTTTGTGTATGTGTGTGGTACTGGGGATTGAACCCAGTGTTGTTCTACATTGAACTATATTCCCAGCCCTTTTCTATTTTTCATTTTGAAACACAGTCTTGCTTAGTTTCCTAGTCTGGCCTTAACCTTGTGATTTTCTTGCCTCAGCATCCCAAGTCACTGGGATTACAGGTGTGCACCATCACACCAGGCCAGAACATATTTCTTGAATGAGTAAATGAATGAATGATCTCCAGTTAGACAATTCATCCTGAAAAGAGTCTTTTGTTGTATACATGCTACATTGGTCCCTCTTTACACCTTTCAAGAGTTGTCTTGTCCAAATAACATTGACAACACTAGTATAGCCTTCAGGGATCACTGTTTCTGTCATACCACCCCCAGCTGATAAAACAGTAAGACTCCAACCTGGACTTCCAGCCTCTGGTCTGGCTCCTCCAGGTCTGGGCAGAAGTCTGCACCCAGCACTCTGCCAGCACATGCCAGTGGAACCTAGGGGAATACGGCTGGGTTAGATGCTGGGTATGGAGGCTGCTAAGAACAGCAAACAGTTACACTTAACCCAGGCAGAAGCAAGGTCATCCCAACTGCAGGTCTGAAACAGACTTATTGGCCTGACCTGTTTGCCACTTGGTATGCTGAATATATTGCAAATATTACACAACCTGCTTTATTAACTACAATAAGGTAAGTTCCAAGAAGAAAAGATCCACATAAATTTTCCCCCTTATATTCATATCAAGTTGCACAATGTAGACATTTATTAAGTATCTATGGACAGGAATAAGGAAGTTTAAGGCAAAAGGGAAGTGAGTGAAGAGAAAAGGCTGAAACAATCTCTACACACTAGTGACTTAATTTTTTCTTTCTGTGTCTAATATTCTTATGTGAGAATTAAGTAAAGGCATTCTGTGATGCCTAAAGTCTCTTTCTACTCTTAAAATACCTGATAAATATGCTTTTCCTACTCCAGCTATCGGTGAGCACAGACAGGCTTTATCTATCAATATTATTTACTTCTTAACATACCTAATACCTTAAGTTTAAAAACCTTGATTTGTAAGTATATTCTAATAAAAATGATAACAACATTTATAATCTCATGGATATTTCCCAATTCTAGAATTCTCTACTGAAAGTCACAAAGATCCCCTTTCAAAATTATGTTATCTATTAAAATTAGTCAGTATTGGGCTGGGGACATAGCTCAAGTGGTAATGCGCTCGCCTGGCATGCACGGAGCGCTGGGTTCTATCCTCAGCACCACATAAAAATAAAATAAAGATGTTGTGTCTACCGAAAAAACTAAAAATAAATATTTTTAAAAATTCTCTCTCTCTCTCTAAAAAAATTAATATCATCTTTAAATATTGCCTACTATCACTTATTTCACATCAGAGTATAAGAAAAAAGGATTTAGATTCCATCTAAACCAATATTCTGGTTTTTTTTTTTTTAATTGTCTCTTCAGAGGCTGGGATGTAGCTCAGCAGTAGAGTACTTGCCTAGCAAGTAAAAGGTCTTGAGTTCAATCCCCAGCACTGCAAATAAAATAAAAATTTTCTCTAATTGCTACTTATTATTTACAAACACATGCTACCTTGAATAATCACATATTGACCTCTATGTACCAGAATCTCCTATATCAACTAAGCCTCATCTCACCTTTATCTTCTTTTCCTATCAAAGCACTCCTTTGGTGTTTGGTTTGTTTAATTCCAATTAAGATCATCTGTGCTAATCAATTTTCTTTGTTCAGAGATCTGTTTTTAGCCAAACACTGCCTTCAGTGGTTCCTTCTTTCTTTTGACTCAAATCAGTTTACTACTTAAAACTTAAATAATTTTCAATAACTTTCACTTTGCACTAGTGAATATCACTAATAAAAAAGGCATACAGTCAACTCTACGAATCTTTTTAAGGCTAACGCTCTCCTTCCTTTAAAGTCTCTCATTCTGTCTCTGCCCATAAGGTAAAAAGGATAGAATATCATCTGTCTTTGCAGTTAATAATCACCCTACCCACAAGTTCCACCAGTAGAGTCCCATGTGCCAGGCACCACATGGGCACCTTACACATAGACTAACACTCCCTCCCCATCAATTATTGTAGAGATATTAGCATTCCCATATTACATGCAAAAACTGAGGCTTAGTGGACATAAGTAACTCAGAGTTACAAGCTATTAAGTGGCAAACCTCAGATTCAAATTTAAAAGAAATGAGAAAGAAATGAAAAATTAAGAATTAAAAAAATGATTTTTAAAACCATGTAATCACATTTAGTGACATCTATTCTAGAGGCATTTGAGATGTTTCATATGAATGATATAACAAAAAAAGATACAGGAAACAAAGCAGGTGTTAACAGAAATCAAGACCTGCTACTTGCTCTTTGGTGTGAGAAAACATAAGCAAAGTAAAAGGGAATTTATCCTCTAAATTGAGGAATGAGAGAAACTGGACATAAAGAAGGGTAGAGACATTTGGAATTTGTGTTGTGTCACACACAGAAATACTGCTGATTCCACCCCCTGGTTGACATATGGAGGGGCACTAATGAGTTCTGCACCAGTAACTCTCCCTAGGGGGCAATAGAAGGAAAGGGGAGAAAAAAAAATCAATCTTAGAATATTCTGCATCAAAATGAACCCCCCAAAAAGCTTCCTATAAAACCTTGACAAATGTAACTACTTAACTGACTGAAGCAGATTCCATAGTCAGAATGTATATATTGCAAATTGTATGTAAACAATAATTTCACAAACATAAAACAAATTTCTACTTACCTTAATAGTACTCGACCATGTCATAAATACTAAGTCTCTAGTTCCTTTTTATCCTCAGTCACTGAATACACTTTATAAACACTCTCAGGAGGGAAAGAAAGTTAAACAATTACAATTACATTCAATTACAACCTCAGACACTTAGAAATACAGTTTCTGAAAGAAAACAAAAAGGTCTGTGAATAAGTCAGGGAGGAAACAGTGGCAAGCTACCAGTATGTTCCAACAATCCTAATCACAAAAGGAACTAGTGGGGAAGTGGGTGGCACTTTCAAACTTGGACTCATAGAATTTCTGAGCAGGATAAAAAAAAATGGATAAGGATCCATAAAAGTAGCCCCTTAAATTTTAGAGATTAGGAAACTGAGATTCAAACCAAAACCACACTGTTCGCTAACAGGTTATGTTAGTCTAAGGATACCTGACCACTCCACCGTAACCAGTGTCCTCAATTATCAGACAGGGGGGTTTCTAAAAAGGGAAAGGCAATTCATCAAAATTTAGCAAAGAAAATACAAAAGATATGAAGGCTGATAACACAATTAGTTATAATTTGGCCCATCTCATTCTGCCTTTTGATTTAGAAAACCTCAGAAGTTAGCCAGCAACCCAAAGGCAATCAAAAAACGCTAAGAGAAACAGCAGACATAAATTCTCTAACTCCTTATTATTCTGTTGAAAATTAAGATAATAAAACATGGTGTGTACATAATCACTGTGTGGAATATAAATCTTAAACTGATTGGGGTGGGGGGCATTTTAACTTTCCTCTGTGCTAGGCTAGTAGTAACTGTCTGTTTCAATGCCAAGCAACTACAGTGATTTTTACAAAATGTTCACAGTGATTAAGACTTTGGAGACTTTTTTTATTCTTTTTTTTTTTTTTTGCATCTTTGTATATTTTGCTTTTGGGGTAATTAAAAAAACATTTAAGTTAAAAACAAAGAAAAACACTGAACTAATCAGCTGAATATTTCTAAACATTATGCCAAGGAGTTTAATTATGGGATGAAAACTGTCTCAAACTGATAAAAATCACTTCTGCTGGTGCTGTGACAGGAAGAGAGAGGCCTCTAAAGGGACCCGGTGGAATCCCCAGGGCCAGCTGAATCTGAGTGCCTATCTGTACTCCTGCATATACCTCAAAGGAATCATGGTGTGTGAGAGAGCTATTTACAACTTACTTTGTGTATAATCAGCAGAAACAAAAGATATGACAACAAGCATAAAGGCCTCTCTCTCTCTCTCTCTCCCCTCTCAGGAGAATTCCGCAAGGGAGGGCCAGTGGGCATTCACTTCAATGTCAAAAGGGCTTCCAGAAAACACATTTTCTGTAGGGCAGGGAGGAAATGTGGCAGGCTTCCTACCTACACACACACACACACACACACACACACACACACACACACACACAGTCTTTGTTTACTGAGATCACATATAAAAACTGTTAGCCGCTAGACTTTTGAAGGCAGGAAAATTGCAAATAGGAGCTACAGTTCAAGATATTTAAAGGTGAACCAAAGTGGAAAGTGAGTGGAACCAAGGGGACAAAGGAGGAAAGAGAAACAGAAATGATAGCTTAGGGAAAGAAATGCCAAAAAGGGGGCCTCCAGAGCCAGGAATGCTTCTTGCACTCACGGTCCCATTTGAAATTTAATTTTACTTTTAAATGTTAAACATTCAGGTAGGTTTTTTGCCTAATAGGCAGTATGAAAGTCACAGCCTAAATAAACAAACTAACTTCCATGTTAGCTCAAGTCTTTTCAGTTAAGCTGGCCACAAGCCCAGATCAGTTCTGAAGTACTATGCATGTTTTGGTGGGTTCAGTCTAGCAATGTTGAGGGGATAAGGGAAACAATCAGAAGAACTTAGAAAAGAATGGATACATGAAATTGATTTAAAAAAAAAAAACAGAAAGGAGGAAAGAAACAGAAAAAAAGGTCCCCCTTCAAGGGCTCAGGGACATGGCTAGGCACAAAACTATCTGTCACATTCCAAGCACTGATGGAACTTCAGCCCAATTTCAGTGGTTATACAATACCAAGCAGCAAGAGGAAAAACCACTCAGATAACACAAAGAATTCAGGAAGACCATGAAGTGAAATGGACTGGACAATAAGCTCACCAGGGCCCTTGTGAGAAAGAACAGATAAAGAAACAAACAGATCACCCAACACTGTGGAGATGGTGGTGCAGGCAACACCCAATGCTGCAAAAGAAATAAATTTTTAAAAATTAGGAAGGTGAGCTCGGTGATCGGGTGTGCAGCTAATTCAGGATTTTCTGGTCTACGCTTTTACTAGAAAACATTCCAGGCCTCAGCTTTCTCTACTGGGGAACCCTAGTAAGAGAAAAGAATAAGACCCCGATAGCCAAGTAGACGGCATCTAAAGTGGAAGAATGAAAGCCCTGCTCACAGATCAGAAAGCTATGGGAAAGAAAGAAGAGTGTTCACCCATTTTTCCAATAAGGAATGGGAAGAAATACACTCGCCATTAAGAAGCCTTAGGTGAGGCGGGGTCGTCACAACAGGAACACGATCAGGACGGCAGACATCTTGCAGAAGTGTGTGGGACGGGGACAGCGCCAGAGGGAAACACCAATCCTCTCTGGGATCATCTCAGAACCATGAACTCAGGCTCAGGATTAAGAGGCTAGAGAAGGAAAAGATCACCAGCACTTGATTCCGCTACTCAACAGGTTG